ATCTTACAAGTTTAATCTCACCATGTCTTATAGTCGGCACTGAAGAGTGAGTAACAGAAAGACTACTCAGATCTCCAGCACCCTTCCCAGTATTCTTGATGACCTATCAATGCTTTAGTTTGTACAATCTTAACTCTTTCTTGAATTTCAAACTTATTCAATCTCAATTCCAATGTTTCTGGCACAGTTCCAAATACACTATTGTGAGCAAGATTCTGTCCTTCATATTCAATCTTATTTTTATCATCATTATTATTAAGTGTGAGGGCATTATGCCAGCAAAGTGATGTTGGGGTAAAAAAAGATGAAGTTCAGTATACTTATCATAACACAGAATCTCATATATAAAATAGTTAGGATATTGGAGGAGTTTATTAATGCAAAAATGTATAGAAAGTGCACTAATTTCTGAGTCTTCCATGGTAAATTTATGACTAGGTTCATAAAGCATTTCACCTTTCTTAACAGAATAACTGCTATTGCAATATGGGATATTTGAAAACAACTGCAATTAAAAAATAAGTGATAGAAAACTAAATGAATAGACATCCTGTTTTTTAAACCATGTGAATTGCATCTGCTGGCCTTATCCAGCAGAATTTGAACTTGCATCCTCCTTTGTAGGAGAAACCACCATCTGATCCAGCATTTTTTTAGACCACTTAGTCACAGAGTGCTTCATGTCTCAGCAAGATATATATATATATATATATATATAAGTGACATTGGCCTCATGATTGCATTTAGCATGAAACAGTCTGTTGCCTCCGAGTATTGACTTTAATGATCACTTTTATATTTGCATATGCCCTATCTCTGATATAGATCACTTTATCCCATAAATATAGCATAACTTAAAACTGTATTTCTTCACACACATATATATATATATATAATTATGTATTTGGTCAGCAATCCCTCTTTTATACAATTTTATTAAAGATGACTGATAAGATACTGCAATTAAGCTTTTTATTCAATTTTTCTTTGTATAAGTATTTTCTTTTCTGGACATAATGTGTGTAGAAACTGTTTCTATATATCCAAGCATTTTCAGTTATTCTGTTAGCCATTATCAAGGATGTTTTTTTTTTTAACTGAATATGTAGATTTTTTATATATGTGTATCTATAGTGATGGGAATGTCCTTTTTTTTTACTTTCCAAACCCAGTCAACACATTGTGGCCATATCCATAGTTGATACTATTTTGTGTTTGCCTTTTCTCTTTTTTATTATTAATGCTTCCATTATTTTTTTGCCTTTTTTCCATATCAATTTTCTATGAGTATGTTGCAGATAGTTTGCTAGGTTTCTATGTGTGTTTAAATATGTCCTAATTGAGAGATGTAACATGAGTCTTCTTGATAGGCATGTAGTGTTATGACCAATTCATGAATTTGGTTTGATCAGGAACGCAGTTCCTTAAAGGACATGTAAATTCATAAATGGGATTGGTAACTTGTAATTTGAACCATGTAGGTGAGTTGTTGATGTGGTTAGCTGTTTTAAATTTTTTATAATAGATAATTTAATTTTCTTGTTCTGGTCAACTTGGGTTGTGTATTTTTTTATAATGCTTCTAAGAGGAAATTCATTTTGCTTAGTTAACATGTATTTGATTTTTATAGAAAATATTAAATGTTCTTGTTTTTATCTGTATATTGAGTGTTGCTATTGGTTACTTTACTATATATAACTTTATATGTCTATATCTTCCAGGATTTACAAATACATTGTTGTTTTTGAATGGATTAAAACTTTATTCCTTTAATCTACCAAAGGTCATTAGGATCAAAGACCTTGGACTAAAACCTAACAAAAAAAATCTGTTTCTATATTCTTTCATTAATACGAGTATTTTTCAAAAAATTTCATCTTTCTTGGGAATTGATTTTCTTGTTTCATTGATTCTTTGTGTTTAGATTAGATTTTTTTTTTTTTTTTGGTGTGTTTCTTTCTTTTTTTTTAACTGACCATTTATTAAAAAGTAATCACCTGACAGCTTTTAATTATTAATTGCTGTTGTGTAAGCCTGACGATCCTGGAGACATGGGCAGGGAAGTTTTGTATTTAGTTGATATTTATGTCACTTTAGGTATTTTACCTACTTAGTGGATAATATTAGCCTTTTTTTTCTTTTTTTTTTTTTTTTTTTTTTACAATGAAGCTCACTCTGTACAAAGTCCAAGAGCCACTTGAGGTCAAACATTAAAGAGTAAGAGGCACTGTTTATAGGGATATCTGGGAAAGATAACAGTTAACACTAGACTTGAACAGGTTAAGATTGTTCTAATCAAGGAAGCATCCTCTTGGGAGTCAATTCCACAAAGCAGTGTTTCATTATCAGAACCTGCTCACTAATGGAATACAAAGGGAAGGAGAGTGGTTTGCTACATTGTGAAGGAAATATTCAGCATTCATTGAATGAGCAGCCAATTCTACTGTCAATTGAAAATTATAAAATTTTTCTCTTAAAACAGTTTGTCAGGAAAACAGGTTTCTCATGTCCAGTAGCTGTTATTGATCTTTCCAGTATTGATGGGGGCTTTCCTCTTGACCTTTTCTTTCGGAATTTGGTACATTTTAGCGTAGCCCATTTAGCATAGCTGATTTGACGTTAGAAAAATAATTGGACTACTTGGCACAGCCATTTAGGTGTCAAACTGTTTTGATGTCACTGTCTTTGAATAGAGGCAACCCCCCCAAAAAAGGATAAAAGCATTGAAAACACTGAACTTTCAATATGTCTTTTTATTCATTTAGTGAATTAAGGATCCTATTAAAACACTAATGGAATAATGTAAATTAAAAACTTAAATTAGAAATATTGTATTTAAAAAAAAATTTTAATTTTTAGAAGAAGCTATTTAATCTTAGAAATTACTTCTTCATTTCATAATTATGAGCAAGACCCTTCATGAACTCAATAGAAATTTCACTTAATCCACTTTACATCAATCTTAGTGTTCACATTGCCAAAACCTTAATTCAGAATCCCTCTTGCTTGTTGGATCAAAAATAAAGAGGTATCCATTGTGTCTTCCACATGTTGATAAAATTTTTGCTTTGGAATAAAAAGGCTTTGACGGCTGAAAAATATGAAGCTGCACTGAAGGAAATATAATATAAAAATATCCCCAACTATTCTTTTTCTGAAATATAATAATGCCTCCAACTAATCTTTTTCTGAAATATAAAAATGCCTCCAACTACTCTTTTTCTTAAATTGGACTATTCGAGCATATAACAACAAAGTACTAATTTGACTACTTAATGAGAAAGAGAGCATAAATTAAAGTAGTAATCTGATGCCTAATTGTCCCTTTGCTGAAGAATTCCTATGTTGAATCAGCTATGACGAATTGACCACGCCAAATCAGCAACTCCGGAACATCCCATTCCTTTTCTTCGAAAGTAGTGTGGAACATCGACATCTTGATTATATCATTATTTTCTCTTCAAGTTAGATGTGATATCCATTTTAGTTGTTGCTGATGTTGGTAGTCCTCAAGTGATGTGGTTTCTGTTATTTGGTACAGTTCTTTCTTTATGATTCTGTAGAACCAGTCCACAAAGTTCAAAGAAGGATGATCTTTGCCAAGACACTAAGGCTTCATTATTTTCTCTTTTAGTTACATATTCTATCCATTTTAATCATTGCTGCTATTGAAAGTCCTCAAGTGATGTGGTTTCTGTTATTTGATACAGTTCTTTGTTTGTGATTCTGTAGCACCAGTCTACAAGTTTTGAAGAAGGATGGTCCTCTCTGAGGTTCCATTTGGTCAAAATCTTTTTAAGCATTGATCTTAGAAAGCGGTTGCATACAGCTGACAGTTCCCATATGTCTGAAAAGGTTTGGCACCATGCATGATATCCATATGAAAATCTCGATCCGACAAGGCATTTAAGACTTGAGTTTTTAGGTTAAGTTGACAAATGTATTTTTTGACAGGATTAAAAATTTAGCTTGCCTTGCATTTGGACATTATGAATCAAAAAATCCATGGATTAAATTATTTGAAAAATATGTTCCTTAATCTTTTTAAACTCTCTTAAAATAATTTCTGGGATTTGTCTAAATCTGTGATTCCCAGCAAAAATAGCCAAATCTCATCTTGTTTATCATTGGCCTTCATTTTTAAATATTTTGTTGAAAAATTGATTTTGTCAGCAATGCAGTGAAAAATTGATGCAAACCCTCTAACAAAAATATTTATTATTGAAAACCACCTTACAAAGTTTTTAAAATATCTTTTCCTATGTTAATTTTCAATGAATTCAACTAATTACAAAAGGATAAATTTGATAAAATGTTTAATTATTTTTCAAAAACATCCCATATTGTTTTTTTCCATACTTCTCTTTAATTTTGAAATATTCTTGAAAAATATCCTTAAAAATATTCTGGATTAGTTATAACAAATTTAGTGTACAAGACCAGCAAATTGAACACATGATAAATTGTGTTAAGGGATTGTTTCTTTTGCTGACAAATATACAATCTATTTTCATACAATTATTGTTTAGTCCTTTCATTTACTACTTTTGACACTGTGTCAACTGTGTATCTCATGCTGTTAAGATTTTGTCCTGTTAGGACTTCTAATTCTCTCAAAGATTACCTCACTGTAAAGGTTAATTAAGTCTGGTGAGAAAAGACATCTTTGTCTTATACCCATTTTTATTTTTGTATATTTGCTGAATCCATTTTCTACCCATATGCAAGCAGTTTTTTCTCAGTATATTGATTGTTTGAATTCTATGGTTTAGCAATTCTTTGCAGGTTATTTAAAGCCAGATTTAGATAGAATTTTTTTTTTTTTTTTTTTTTGAGATAATAATGGTTTAGTGATACAAATTTTACTAATTAACCCATTGCTGGGAGGAGAAGAAGTGAATTGATGTGAATATAATGAACCCAATGGGAATTGGGAGTTGGCTCTTTGATTAATAATTGCATACCATTATCCATTACATCAACAGTTCATTTAAGATTAAAGCACTCAGTATTCCCAAGCAGCTACCTATCTAGGTACTAACCAGGCTCAGCATTGCTTAACTTTGGTGATCATATGGGAATTGGTGTGTCAATGTGATGTGGCCATAAGTCTCTCACTGTTTTGGATTATTCTAATATCTTTTCCAAATAGGTCAAGAAATAGGCGATTATAATATTCAAGGCCTTATTTTATATTGAAAGAAGGATAAATTATAATATTATTCTTTTTATTATTTAGTTCTGTTGTGTTCTGACAATCCTCGTCGGAACTGTTATATTCCATACCAAGGGAATAAATAAGTAAGCCCAGGTGGATACTAGAAGAAAGGTTTATTGTACACAACAAGTACAATATGAAATACGGTACAGTTATACACACAGGTCAATCTAGTAGTGAGTGCCACTATTTAGAAGGTCAGACATGCTTACGTCTTCTCACTCACTCTCTCTCTCCTTGTCCCCCAGTCTCTTGTAGACAGTTGACTTTATAGGTACTTACTACCTATAGTGCAATCATTCAGGTTATTCCATTACATCAAGTTCCTTCCTGTGTACATATGTCATGCTTTCATTGAAACTTTTACTGTCTAATCTTGTATTTGTTCATGTGTATCAACTTTGCAATGTCATATCCCTTCAGGACAAAGACAGTCCTGGCTCTTCACGGATTTCTCTTTTCCAAGAAATAGGACTTCTAATAAACTTTTCCAAAACAGAAGCAAAGATCTGCTAATGGCAATAAGGTATAGGAAGTTTTAGAGAATCATGATTGTCAATGCCCTAAACAGGCATGAAACATAGAAAAACCAAAGTAAGAAAAAAAATTCTTTGGTTTAGATTTGGATCTCTGTCAAGATTAACCATGAGAATGACAGCTTTCAACTAAACAAGTTATGGGAGAGTGGTTTACCCAAACTTTTCTCTATCAGCTGTCAGGACATGCTAGTGATAAAACATTTTGTCAAGATAACTGATGATGGAACAAAGTACAGGGAGAACTGCATTCATGCCTTTCCCAAGTATGAATAGGACAGAAACTGTCATAGCCAGGAGTTGAACTCCACCAGTTCCTCTATAAATTTATTATTCACAATAGTTAGTTAATTTATGTACTTGTAAAATCTGCACATTATTTTTTTGTTTACCATCTACTTCTGTTATCCTTACGAATTGTGCACTCAAAATAGGTAGGAACATTTGCTTCACTGCTTTGGGATAAAGGTAAATCAGCTTCAACAATGTGCGGACAATAAATGCAACTAAGTGAAGAAGCAATTCTTGGAATGATAATGACTCTACTAAAAATGAATGAAGTTTTTAAAATAATCTCAAACTCATGTATATTTGTTAACTCTATAGGCTCCTTTGTGGGGTATAGGACCACAGCCTCATCTTGCTAGTGCCACAGATTTTCTAAGGCCTCCTATCTCATGTGTCTAAGAGATTTCAGCTACCTTTTACTGATTCTGTGCATAAACATTCTTTTTTTTTATTTACGACCTCCTTACTCACTCTGTCCATTTAATTTTCAGTATCCTTCTGTAGAACCACATTTCTGTTGCCTCTAGTTTTTTTCCTCATCCATGGGGAGTTTGTCCAGTATTCACTGTCATCTAAGAGGATGGATATGACATGGGATTCAAGACTTCTTCTTTCTTTATTTTTTTTCTCTTTCGCTTTGTCTGCTTATTTTACCACCCCAGGAAGCACCTGATTCTTTCTGTCATGCTTATCTTTACAACAATCAGATTAGACCAAAATAGAATATTGCTGCCATGTCTGGTGTTGGGATTCAAGCCTATTACTGCACTATTTCAAATGTTCAGATGGTCTCCCTTTTTTAGTTTCACTAGTTCAGACATTTACAATTAGGACATGTTATATCCACAGAGTCAAATCACCCATATTTCCTTTATATTTAAGCAATGGCACACCGAGGAGCAAATGAAAATATCATAGCGCACTCAGCACACTTAGCTGTATGATTATTACTTCCACACACACATATAAATTGCCATTTTATCAGGATTGAAAGACAGATTTTTCTGTATACTGATGGACAGTCATAATACACTTTCTCCTACCTTTTCTTCACATTCATTTGCTATATACCAAGAAAACTTTTTATAATTTTTTTATTCAATTTCTACCAATATAAGGCTCATTAACATAGAGGGTTATTGAATTACTGAATGAGGTGTCTGACTTTAATGTAAGAAAGTGAAGATTATAAGGACAAAGAGAATAGATAGTGATTGATCCCTGACTTGAAAAGGTTAAGATTGTAATGTAGCGATTGTAGGATCCATGCAAAAGTTCAATAACTTATGAGTTCTTGGGAAAGAGCTGTTTGCTTGGTATTGGAAGAGAGAAGAGATTAGAGTTTTCTGTATAGTGATAGACAGTCATTATTTACATTATTCAGACTATTGTCCTCATCTTTGTCGCCATATTTATTACAACGTTTCGGCCATTGTATGCTCCAGCTTTGAACCGTTTATTTCACTTTCTGGGGTAGAAAGTTCTAGTTCCATGTGCCATGTTTAATGGATGTCAGTTATAAGTTACCTTCTGTTAATTCTCCTCTCCAAGTTCTCCAATACCTTAACTGGGTATTGAACTCATACTCTTTGGGTCCTGTCACTGGATCTAACCAATGCCTCTATTCACTGTGCTATGTGTACATAATACCTCATCTCAGAAATATAGACTGATAGACAGTCATAATTTACTCTCTTCTACTTTTTCTTACACACTTCATTTAGTAACCCTCTACAATAAATGGCTCTTAAGCCTTACACTGGGTCATGATCATTAGGGTTGTAAGAGTACCACAGGTACTGTAGCTGTAATCGCAGTTGTGTGTCTTGGGCAAGATAGTCTGATGGAACCCAACAATTTCCAGGCAGTATGCTGTGACAATATTTCATGGAACACTAGTGTGCTCCAGCACAGCAGTTGAGAATCACTGTTCTAATCTTAAGAAAGAATTTTTTGCAAGATTTTTCTCAAGACCTCCTACTTTGGAGAACAAAGTCTTGCATGGTGTTTTTATGACTACTACAATCTTAACCTCTCCAAGCCGAGGTTTAATCATTATCTATCTTCCTTATCCTCACTTTCTACCTCCTCCACTTTCAGTCATATTATACACCTCCTTCATCAATACCATTTAACAATAACCCTCTACCTTGAGTGGCTCACGAAATTGGGTGACAAAAATAGATAATATTCATGTGAATTTTTTTTATTTTCTAATATAATCAGAAATAATGTGTCTGAATACAATGTATGAATTATGATAATCATAATTATGATAATCTTAATTGTACTTTATTGTTTGTAATTATTATTATTATTATTTTGCTGTCATGAACAACAATTCAAATATCCAGGAAGTTTTTTTTAACATTCCAGGTATTTAAATTGTTGTACATGACATCAAAATAATAATTACAAACAACAAAGTACAAAAACATTTAGGACGAAAAGTGTGACACTGAAAGTGCAAAAGATTCCTTCACAAAGCTAAGCAAAGTATTAAGAAACAGAAAAATATCATAAGAAACAAAGAAAAGTGAACTGAAAACTGTTATATATTAGGTTGGTGCAAAAATAATTTCGTTTTCTCACACAGTAACATATGTTAGAAAACAAAATTATTTTTGCACCAACCTAATAATATCAGTCCTCCTACATGGCAGTGAATTCTAGACAATCTCATCACAGATGAAGAAGAGACTTGAAGCAACAGAAATGTGCTTCTACAGAAGGATGCTGAGAATACCATGGATCAAGCATGTGAGCAATGACAAAGTTTTAGAGAAAACAGAAACAAAAAGGACACTTATACTTAACATCAGAAAGAGATAGTTGTTTGCAGATAATACTATTCTCACAGCTCACACCAACATGGACACTCAACAGTTGATCAATCAATGAAAAAATGTATTAATGTGTGTGTGCTATAATTTGATATAGACCAGGAGACTTTTTTATTGAAAACATCTCAACTTTAAACATTTTCCTACCAGCATAATATAGTTCTCTGTGGTGTTTTCTATAAATACTTTCATGGTAATTGCTCTGAGCAGATTTCCTCTTTAGTCTCTAGACTTTATGAATTTAAGTGCAGTAACAGATTGACAGACAAGTTTCATCATTTTACTGTTGAAATAGCTTGATAGAAACCGTAAGTTCTATGATAATACTTTTCTGGCACTTCTCATATGTGGAAATATCTTCCAGCTTATTGCTTCCCAGTTAACTTTGATCTTCAAAAATTTAAATGCAATATCAATCGTTATTTTCTGACACAGTCAATCTTGTTCTTTTATTATTTTCACTTTTTAATAGTGTTTTCTTTTCCTCATATTCTTTCAAGTTCATAACCTCTTGCATCTAAGTGGTCTTATTGCCTTGCTTGGGGTGAAATGATTAAAAATAAAAACAAAATTTTATCCAGTACAAAATAATATGCTGAGTTTCCAAACTTGCAAGTTCACTACATTAAGTTACATGCAAATACCCTTGAAAAAAAAGGTATGAATCAATCCCTTACGCTCCCAGCTAGGGATAAATAGCAGGACAGATCACGTTCTATAGCCTTGGTTGACAACTGTTCTAGGAGAAGGACAACTCTGAATTCAAACCTACCTGAAAATTGTTGGGCTCCATCAGGCTATCTTGTCCAAGACACACAACTGGGGTTAAGCTCCTATAGCTGTGGTGCACCTACAACCCTAAAGATCATGACCCAGTGTAAGACTCAAGACCCATTTATTGTGGATGGCTACTAAATGAAGTGTGTAAGAAAAAGTAGAAGAGAGTAAATTATGACTGTCTATCAGTCTATATTTCTGAGATGAGGTATTATGTACACATAGCACAGTGGATAGAGGCATTGGTTAGATCCAGTGACAGGACCCAAAGAGTATGAATTCAATACCCAGTTAAGGTAGTGGAGAACTTGGAGAGGAGAATTAACAGAAGGTAACTGATAACTGACATCCATTAAACATGGCACATGGAACTAGAACTTTCTACCCCAGAAAGTGAAATAAACGGTTCAAAGCTGGAGCATACAACGGCCGAAACGTTGTAATA